GATTTTTTCTCATTTAATGTCATTCTCAACTTTTTCTGTATTTCATTTTGCTTTTGTTCTTGAAATTTTTTTAAACGAAAGACACTTTTTAACTCTGCGTGCATTATTGCAATCGTCAATGCTGGCTTTCTTTCCATAAAACCGAAAAACTTTTTAATAGCTTTTTCAATTTCAGTCCAAGATTCATCACAATCATGCATCTTGTTGCAGATGTGTCTCGTTGTCATCCTTTCCTCTTATTCCCATCATCTTTTGCACCAATACAAACCGTTAAAGTGAAATAAGCACAAGCAATTATGCAAAGGAAAAAAAGCCCCAAAATTTCAAATCAGTTACATATCACACATGTTGTTCAAATATACACACTAATATCATGTCCGGATATGCGTGATTTTAGATACGAGGTATTCCGGATATGAGGTATTCCGGATTTGTGGGATTCCGGGTTTGAGGGATTCCGGATTTGAAGGATTACGGATACGATGGATTCCAGATTTGAGGGATTCCGGATTTTTGGGATTCCGGATTTGAGGGATTCCGGATTTGAGGGATTCCGGATATGAGTGATTCTATTGTATTATTTTTGAAAGAGTTTTTAATAAAGGGAGTTGCGCTGACAGATTTTTCGCTATTAGAAAAAAACTTCTTGCAATGAATTTAAATTCGTTTGGAAATAAAGTATTTTGCACATTGGAAATATTAAATTTAATAAATGACGTCATACATTATGAAATGGACAAAGTCCGAGAATTATATTAAGACATTTTTATATGTTTAAACATTATTTTTATAGATAAAAATATTTAAGTAAATGCTCTGTTTTATAATAAACAGTATTAACAACATTTACCGGCCTGAATGTCCGAGAAATCTTCATAGAAAATATGCGTCCTCCGACAGAAATCGAACCTGTACCCTATACAGAACCGTCATATAGCCTGACGTGCCTTAACTGTCGGAGAACGCATATTTTTTATGAAAATTTCTCGGACATTCAAGCCGGTAAATGTTGTTAATATTGTTTATTATAAACAAAGCATTTACTTAAATATTTGTATCTACAAAAACAACGTATAAACATAAAAAAATATCTTAAATATTTAAATTTAATGTTTTAGCTTAAAATTAAAACTAAAATTAAAGCTTAAAGAAAGATGCTTTATTGAAAAAAATCATTTAAATCTTTCATATCGCGTTTCGTTGTATGTACACACGCACAAGCGGACATATATGTGTGTACGTTCGTATGCGCGTATGTACGCATGCATGTATATGTAATTATATGGTTCAAAATTGCTATATCTCGCTATATTTATGGGGGAATAGTGACAACTGAACAAATGTATTGTTTGTATTACATGTTAGGCATCTGAGGCCATTGTTTCTCGCTGGCCCGCATCAACAGTAAATTTGAAATAATCAGTCAATTTATCATATTCACTTAATGTCAAGTTTAACCGACAATATCTAACAAATTTCAATTCTTATTAACACATATTTCAAGCAACTTAATGTCATCTTACATGCGCGGTTGTTATGGGAACGACTTCAATTCACAGAAATAGTGTCCTTATTTGAAAATTGGAAGAAAGGAAATCGCTCGTAAAAGAAGGACGATATAAAATATAGCGATTATTAAGTATTTATATGATTTAAATATATGAAAAATTGTTCTTGTACGTACATAAATTATACAGTGTAACCCGGATATAAGAGACCCGGATATAAGAGAAACCCGGATCTAAGAGAGATTTTCTCTGGGCCCAAATTAGAGCCTGTGTTAATGGATATAAAATAGACCAAACCCGGATATAAGAGAAACCCGGATATAAGAGACTTCTTCTCCGTTCCCGACAACTCTCTTATATCCGGGTTACGCTGTATTGTCGGGATGAAGAAGCATACTATAAGATTAATAGGCTTTAGGAGGATCAAATAGGCAATATGTCAAAGTCGCATATATATATATATATATATATATTAGTGTGTGTACGTATACTAGATGTTTTTCAATAATTCAGGCAATTTGAATGTGAAAACAGTTTGAGGACCGATGTTTTTCAATACATTTGCCGTTACAATGAGGACCAAATGTAAATACATTTGTTTGAGGACCGAATGTAGCAGATACATTTGCCGTTACAATTGAGGACCAAATGTAGCAGATACATTTGCCGTTACAATTGAGGACCAAATGTAGCAGATACATTTGCCGTTACAATTGAGGACCAAATGTAGCAGATACATTTGCCGTTACGATTGAGGACCAAATGTAGCAGATACATTTGCCGTTACAATTGAGGACCAAATGTAGCAGATACATTTGCCGTTACAATTGAGGACCAAATGTAGCAGATACATTTGCCGTTACAATTGAGGACCAAATGTAGCAGATACATTTGCCGTTACAATTTTTTGATGTGTTTCTTTTGTTACACTCTTGAAAAGCTCGTAATGGGGGATACTTCGATGAAGGCAGTGTAAAATATTTTATTCCCAGTGAAGAGTGGTCGACCACAACTAGAGGTTTCATGCCTTTTCACGCAAGCATCAACTTGAAGAACGTATGACACATTTTAACGGGATCGGCCACTGTTCACCGAGAATTTGTTTAATAATATTAAGGAATTGCCAAGTAATATGGCATTTAGGTCTCTTTCTCCGGAGTGACTCTGTAGCAGACTCCATTAGAAGTTCCTTTTATTTATTTAATATATATATATATATATATATATATATATATATATATATATATAGACACACACACACACACACACACATATATATATATATATATATATATATACAAACACTTACTGTTCCTATATATATATATATATATATATATATATATATATATATATATATATAATTCATAGAGTCTGAAAGAAACAAAGGATGGAACACAGGAGACACGTAAAAGCAACGATTGATAGATAGGATCACTGCTACCATGCTCATTCCCTTCAACAATATGTACCAGCAAATTAATCTTTTTAAATGCTAAATTTAATATTAGCAAATGAAAATTCAGATTTCGTACCATCAGTGAAAAGCAACTTCCGGTTGCTTTCTCACTGATTACTTTATTACGAAAATTGCCCCGTGAGTAATGCTACTTGCTTTAATATTATAGATGTTGATTTTCACATTGGCTTTTGATCTTTCCTGTTAATAATTATTTACCTTGTTCCCGAGAGCACTTTGGCAAAGTGTTGTCTAACAAACGTGCCTACGAAGCACAAAATGTGTCGTTGATATCCGCTATGTAGAAGATATGGCGTGTATTAATATGCATCGATGTTTGCTGCATGTTTGCGAAAACGAAACAGTGGATGTGAACACAGTCATTCGTTAATGTGTTTTAACAGTAGCACTAAGGATCTGCATGATATCTACGGACGATTCTTTGCAACTATCTATCCATAAATGAAGATCCCCTCGAAACTTCATAGCTAGTGAAGGTGACTATCAGTAAAAATCGGATTTTGTAGACAAAAACGTCTTATCCAACGGTCATTTTGCGCTCCTGGTATTTATTGAGTTTCCGAGGAAAGAAACAAGGTGTATTACTTTTGGAGCGTCCCTCGTATAATTGGGTAAATATTCCATGCACACTTCTTCCAACACTATTATTTTTTTAAATATTTTCCTTGCTAGTGATTGTCTCTTTAGAAAAAGGAACTGACAAGTTGTCATGATTGAAAATTAGTTAACAAGGAATTCGTCCCCGCAACCACCAACAATACACTGTCACGCTTAAACACGTCCCAGACCTCGGACGTTTCCTCCGGATGCCAAGATAAATGTTTCCGGCTAACTCCGGAAAATTTAATGGCTGTCGTCTCTGCAATCTATTGCAAGACATTAGGCAGACGATTAGTCGAAAAGCAATTAGCAGTTTGGAGATAATTACTACCACTAACACGCTCTCAAAAACCACCTCTCATAAACATGTCGTCACAGACAAGTTTTATTCTGTTCTAGAAAGCGAGACAGATGGCCAAGAGTTGCGAGATTTTATCCCTTGTTTTGTCAGTTGCTAAATTATTCCTCAATTTCCAAATCAATAAGTATCAGAAAGTTGTATCTTAAGTGTAAAATCACTTATTTTCAAAATTGCTTTGGAATATAGCTATTTAACTTTCCGTTAGAACCGTCAAGTTTTCAAACATAGCATTTCAGGTATCCTGGGTGGATTATTCAGTTCTTCATTTTTTTTGTTATATATTGTTCTTATATAGGAATAAAGTGTCGCTGCGGACACTTGAATTTGAACTTAGATCGCCAGTGAGCAAACACAGGCGATCCCATTATTGAATTAAGTGGATCACGTGACCATAGAGGAAACGCATATATAGAAAGACGCGTGACTTCTAGATTGATCGTTATTTCTATTCTATCCTCTGTTACTATTCGGATCACAATTTCTACTGTATTACTATACGGACCGCTATTCTCTATTCTCTTCTCTACACTATTCTCTATTCAGACCAATACGGTGGTTACATCCGAGCGAGTGTTATCGACCAAGTACTGTTAGCACGAGACTTATTCGAAGGCGTCTGACACTAGTATTATTCAACAGCGTTACTATAGTTGTATCTGCGATTACAAAGTCTGTACTACAACGAGCATTACAAAAGTGACAACGAGTATTCGTTGATATCATAAAAATTGATTTGAGCGTATTTTCTTGTTTTTATAGGATAAATAAATATGGACTGAGTAGCCATCGTAAAATGCAAAATACGTAAAAAAGAGCTGCCCAATAAACAGAAGTGAGAAAATTTGCAATAAGTAATAACAAGAAAATGAAAAGAAATGAACAGGGTAAAGATAATATCAAGCAAGCAATATACGAAAGGAAAAAAATAACATTAATAAGACAGAGCAACAGTAATATGGCAAAAAGTTCACAAAGTGCTCTACTAAGTACGTCTCACGCCCCACGGCGGTTTAGAAATAAAACGGCGACAGCAAAATACCGCCAGTCGCGGATGTCAAATCGGATGGCTCGTTCGCGAAACGACTGCAGCAGAAGAGGCAACGGCGATGAGCGGTATCAGCCCCAACAACCGCAGCCGCTCCTAGCGAAGTCGACACAAGCGTCGCAATATTTCGTAATACCGTAACGGCGCCGGTCGCAGTTCCAGCCTAGAGGCTTTCAGTTGTTACCGCGCTGAGACAGCATGGTACTGTCGCTCGTTCGAGCCAGAACGCGAAACGTTGCTCTGTTCTTGCGGTTCTTCGCGTACTAGACGGTATAGCCGTGGCCATGGTCGACGTAACACGTGTCGATTGGTAGGATAAAAGCTAACCTATCTCACAACAGTGGAAAACCCAGCTTATGTTCCCTGTGAACAATCCGACGCTTGGCGAATTCTGTTTCGTAATCATACGAAGAGCCGACACCAAGTATCAAAAAGCGGGGTCGCTACAAGGCATTTATCCCGGTGGTAACTATTTTAAAACGTCTGGGCGAGATCTCGGAAAGATATCGATGCACCACGTTTTGGCGGTTCATATTCGTACTGAAAATCAAGATCTAGCTAACTTTCGCCCTTTTGTTTTACGCAAGTTTTCCATCCTCGCTAAGCTTAATTCCTCGAAGAAATGATACTACTGTGTCTACCCAACACTGCCGTAATAAAGGAAAAGAAACCTAAGGAAAATGTCATTTATTCAGTCTGTGATGCAGCGTTGGGGCCTGAGGAATTGCTGATAAACTGCGAATAGCCAGAAACGATACGCCACACAACACTAATCATTGCACTACAGTAGGTGCACATTAACTAAGCTAAGTTTAGTCTGACACAGGGCCGCAGTAGTGAGGACCAGTGTTGATTGATTTCATTACATTTAATTAGTTTCGGGAAAATGATCGAACAATCGGCTAATGTAATCGCGAAGAGAATCAGTCTCTTGCTATCTATCTGTCTATTTTGGCTTGTTCTTATCTATCTATCTATCTATATATCTATTCTATTAATTTTGGCTTGTTCTTATCTATCTATCTATCTATCTATCTATTTTGGCTTGTTCTTATCTATCTATCTATCTATCTATCTATCTATTTTGGCTTGTTCTTGTCTATCTATCTATCTATCTATTTTGGCTTGTTCTTGTCTATCTATCTATCTATCTATTTTGGCTTGTTCTTGTCTATCTATCTATCTATCTATCTATTTTGGCTTGTTCTTGTCTATCTATCTATCTATCTATCTATTTGCCATGTCAGTTCAGGTTTTAGGTAATTGTTCCTCTCTACGTCTTCTTTTTTTCTTTACTCTTGCTTACCTTTTTATCACCCTAGAATGTGAGACTACTGGGCAGGGTAAGAGCCATCAAATCCCATATTTCTCACACCTAGTGGGAGACTTGTATCCATGATAGAGTAGTGACTATAGAAAGGAACACGCGTAGCAGGGCACCTACTAAGAATCGAGCTCATACTTATATGTTCTGCCAGTCGACGTGAATCCTGAATTAATGTTCACATATTTGTATGCTTTATATTTTTATAAAGTCATAAGCGACTTGCCATGTAGCGGTTATTTGCTAAGATTTGTTGCCGTCAGTATGGCAGAGATAACTCTTACGCAGCGAAAATTACACGCATTAAAACCACAAACCGTTTGCCCTCTAAGCGATATAGCACACAGATACTGAAATCTTGCATTTTATAGTTTGCTTCTTTGTCAAGTGCGGTTGGCTTATCGCAGAGCTTCTTAAAAAAAGGCAGAATTAATGAATGTCTTCCTATTTAAGATTTATAGGAGGAGATTTTTATTCATTAATCCTAGAAAATGTTGTATACAGATGATTGTTTAGACATTAGGGCTTCGAATTAGCCCAATTCCATCCTTGTCAGTTTTGCATTGCAATTACTGATGAAATAGACAGCGGCCATGGATTGGTTCGGGTTTGGTTGTTTTGGCTATTTTCTTTTATGGCATATCAAAACCTCAGTGGATCATTTAATGCCAACAAAATTTTTGAAATAGATTCATAGCGATAGTTTGGTAAAGAAGGTGTGTATGTATATATATATATATATATTTGAACCATTTTTCAATTACTCATATTTTTTAGTACAATCCAATTTCTTTTAGGAAATTTACAATCTTGGATGGTTTTATTTTCGTAAAAGTTTTTTAATTTCTCACTTGGTAGGTAATAATTTTTCATTCAAAAAACATTGTTGGAAATAATTTTTCTTTTATTACAAAGCGCTTCTGGTATTAAAACCTATTTTTACACAAGTTCGGGTGTTAACCACACGCCGACAGCTGAATTTGTATACGAGTTACTTCAATGGTTACTTAATTTTACGCCTGGGATCTAAAAAATTCTTATGTGTAGGAGGATTTATGAAGCAGGTATAATATCCATCTCACGCACGGTGAATACTAGACCTGGTTTCTTTAATATTTCCCCTTTTTTAGCGAGATTGATGCTCGACAAGCATACACATAAGAATTTTAGAACCTAATAGAATTCTTTTCCTTTTCATTTCAAAATAATCACAAACTTTTAGGAATACGTTATGAAAGCGTCGCCCATGTGACGACGGCGTGACCATGTTAGATGGAAGGCTGATCATTTTAAAAATTTTCAGTTATCTGTTCTGAATAAGACTTGTGTTTTTATGTCCATCGTATTTGTCATATTGAACTGAATTGTATTTTGATGAATATTGTCTTGAAAAAGGTTTAATAAACCGAAACGTCAGACGTCGACATTTCTTTCATTTTAACTACATTTAAGGATTTTTGTTTTTTTTTTCAAAATTTCTTCATATATATATATATATATATATATATGCACACATATATATGTCATATATATTTATATGTCGAAAAAGTAGGACTAAACTGAACCTGACCAACTCCCGAAGACCCCCTCCTCCAAAGGCGGAATATGTAATGATCTACTCGATTTAACGACCAAACTGGCGGAAGAGGGCAGCGCCAGTCGGGCTGGCGTAACCAAGGCGCATCTTGATGGACCAATCATTCAAAAGCCCGATGCCAGATCTCGCCTGTTTCAATCCCTGTTGGGCCGCAAGGATGGTGTTTTTGGCCAAGTGTGTGCACTTGGCCTCCAAAATCGAATTCACGCGAATAGCATCGTCAGACTTTCTTTGATTTAGAGCCATCTCCGCCACTGCTACCAGGGGGCGGGGTGAAAGGGAATAGGGAGGAAGGATAACGATCCCGATGATCGGATGCGAGAGGGTGCTGACCATCACACCACAGGAGCTGTCTATTTTGTTGTTACTGTTGCTGGACGTGTTCAAGCGATAATGGTTGTCGCTATTAGCTAATGTTCAATTTTGATTGTGAAGGGTCTGATGAGGGATAATCTTCTTTAATATCTATGAAATTAATTCGCTTTAAGCTATTTTTTATCATTAAACCCCCCCCCAAAAAACAAAAAAAAAAAAACGCTATATACACGTGACAGTTCAGACATTCTTCTTCTTCTAATGTGCCGTGTCTCCCCAGAACATTGGCAATCATGGCTCTCCACAATTTCCTGTCCTTTGCAGCTCTTAGTAAATTTTGTATTTTTGCTATATCTCCTAAACCCTAATCTGTCATCCAATTACAAAACCTCCTTAAGTAGCTTACCCGATGTCTTACCGTGAATATATCTTGTTAGTGTCAAATTTCCCAAGCCTTCTTTTCTCATTATGAGGCCAAGAAATTAGAATTCTGTCTTTCTGATTATAAGTACAAGTTAATTGTTCCTAATTACACTAATCTCATTTTTATTAGGTGCGAATGGTATCTAATGACAAAACAAGCGACGACTATGCAAATAGTTATTGTAAAATTAACTTTTTTCATACAAATGACATTTGACCTTTAATGACTGAATAGTTACGGCTACTTTTGGTTGGAATTCATAAGATCTTTTTCTGAAACCAATTTTTCAGGAAATTAGATTTTTCAAGCACAACAACGTTGGATTTCTTGCGAATACTGGTAGAATTTTCTTTCGAAACTTTGTTTTTTGTTGTGTGGAAATTTAATAACGTAATTATATTATTTGATCTTTCTAGTTACATGTATTATCCTTTTCTGGTGTGGGAAGGGTTGCTATTGAAAGTTCAAGATTATCTGACCGGATTATACGGTAAAGCGACGTTTTACCTCCTGCCCTACTTTCGTGAATTTATTTAATCTCTCAACGTTTTTAATCTCGGAATATATTTAATCTGTTTTTAAAAGAACATTGTTGAATGCATTACCTGTAAAACCCGCCAGAGAGATTAGCATTTAACTTTTATTAATGTTTTCGAATTCGTAGATTTTTATTGTTTATTCTCACGCTTCATAAGTATAATTTTTTTCCTTACCCGTTTATTGAACAGGAATAGAGGTTTATCCAGGATTGGGATTCCGGGTTCATCTAAAGTCTTTTTATTCTCTTTCTCTCCCAGTTTCAAAAAAAAGTGTCAGGAGACAGCATTACTTTTCAGCTTGTGAGGAAGACTTGTATGCCAAATCATGTCAAAAGCTTTCGAGATATTTAAAGCTGCAGCCCGGGCTTCACTGTTTTTATCCAATTCATGATAGGCTCTTTCTGCTATTATTGTCAAGAGATAGTAATAAATTGTCACCGAGATCTCATCAGTTGAGCTGGCTAGGTGTAGCCGTAAATTCTATGCTAAATTTCTTTTCTCGGACATATCGCTTGTGAAATTCTACTTCCGGCTCTATGCATTACAGCCAACTTTAATCTCCCCAAAATGTCAATCCCTATGTACTGTCGTCCTGATTATCGTTTTCTTTTCACTTGAATGATGTTTCTGTTCCTAATTCTCCCATAGTAAGTAGCCCCTTGTGTTTTAGTGGCTTTAATGCCTCGCTTGAGGTTAACTCAAGTAAAAAACAAACAAAAAAAACCTTGCATCTTAGTGTGGTGGATCCGGAATAGGTCCGAAAGAAAACTCGAACTCAGCAGTTGAGTGAAAATTATTATTAAACAAAAAGAACGACAACAAAAGTGTTGCACGTCCGACTGACGGCAAAGTACAGTAGTCAACGATATGCATTACTGAAAAATACTGTAAATGTGGCACAAGGCCGAAAAAGGGGGTGGGGAAAAGAGACGGTCTTCATCTGTCTTAATTTATAACTTAGCTAGCCACAACCACTGACCGAATCGTACAAAACAATAATTCTAGCACAAAAATAACACATTCATACTTACCTTTCTTACTACATCCACCAAAATACCTCATTGTCTCAATGAAAGTCCTAAATAGTTCCCATATGTACAAATCGTTGTCTGTGAGGGGAGGGGAATAAAACAACAAGCTAAAAACATCCTAATGATATATATATATATATATATATATATATATATATATATATATATATATTGGTGGTGCAAAAATAATGACGTAATAATGTCGTTTTTTGATGTTACGTCAAAAACGACATTATTACGTCATTATTTTTGCGCCAACCTAATATATACAATATGGTTATAAAAAGTACAGTAGTCAACTGAAGACAGCCCCCCTCCACCTCTTGAGAGGCATAATATAGTAATAGGACGAGTCCATTTAGTCTATAAAGGTAGGTCCCATAACACTTAGTGACAATAACGACTTGCTTTGGGCACTTCGAGGTGGTGTAATGGTTAGCAAGCTTGTCTGGCTAGAACAATTACGACTGAGTAGTGAGTTCGATCTTCACTGGGTGCCCCATACTTTCGGCCTTGTGTCACATCTAAGCTACGCTTGGAAAATCACTAAATAACGACTTGCTTGGCAGCGAGATGATAAAAAAAATGTATTTTCTTCGGTATATTTTGTTGCTTCTTATTATATCTCTCATTATTCTACCATTGTTAGTAAACAGAGTGAAAATAAAAGATAAGTCACCGTCTATACTCACATTATCATATCTTATTCTCAGGAACCTGCCTTACCGAAGCACCTGCCTTATCGATTAGGCTACCAAGGCCAACCGGTAGAAGTCATTCATTTCTTGCTATCTAGCATTTATTCTTTATTTTCTCCGAACAGCTGATAACAGCCGTCTGGAAATTGCAATAAAAGCAACAGAAATAACTTGAAGAAAATATTAGCAACGACAATTTTTCATCTATAATATATATATATATATATATATATATATATATATATATATGATGAGAATAAGTTTAGAGAAGCATAAAGAATTGAATTCGCTTCAAAGGTCAGGTTTTGAAAAAATATAATGAAAATAACATTTTAAAGAAATATGTGAGTTTTGTCGATGACAACATTGGCAGATGCATCTGAGACACGATCTAAGCGCTGGTTGCTGCACATTTAATACTTAAGTGATAGGAAAAAGTTACACGAACATGCGCGCAGAGCGGGTAAAAACGAGAAAATTCAGTTCTTTAAAAGGTAAATTTTTAAATATTATCGCTTTAATTATATACAATAATTTCGTCCAAGGCCAACTCTTGTCTGCGTGTATCCACCTCACGTCTTGTTCTATGGACCGCGTGTCTTTAGGGTGTGAGCTTCCATGGATTTCCATAACATTCTGCCCTTTGTTGCTTTGAGTAAATTTTGTATTTTTACAATCTTTCCTAAAACATGTTTTGCCAACTATTTGCCCAAACACATTAGGGAAGTTATTTTGCTATCTTCTGTCCATCTTGCCTTCAGTATGTCCTGTCAGTGTCATATTTTCTAAGCAGTCTTTCCTCATTATTTGACTGAGATATTTCAACAGCCTCTTTCCGATGTTAATATCAGTGTCGATTATGTTTCTGAAACTTCCTCATTGTTCACATGTTCATTCTATGGTATTCTCAGCATCCTTTAAAACTACATTTCTTTTGTTTCAAGTCTCTTCTTCATCTGTGGAAATGAAATTCGGAAATGACCGTTAAGTTTGAATCTTGCTTTGGGTTCACCGCTTATGTGTCGGACGGGGCTAAAGTTACTGAGAGCCATATTGTAAAATAGACATAAAAAAAAAGAAAGAAAAAAACGTGATGGAAAGATAGGGAAAAAGTTAGAAAGAGAAATAGGTTGGAGTTGGTTGAGGGGAGGGTGTAGATCAAATAGAGAGATGAAGCCAGGAAATGTTGATAAGATAAGACAGAAGAAACGAGATGAATAAAAACAAAAGGAAAGAGAATAACAAACAACGGAAAGATGTGAAGAAAAGAAACAAAGCAAAGAAAGAAGACGAAAGAAATAATGAAAAGAATGAAAAAAAAAAAAAAAAAAAAAGGAAAGAGGAAAAGAAAGACAAAAGAAATCATGGCTTGTGTATTTTGTGCCGTTGCCTTAGCCGAACCTAATTGCCACATCTCCTTTTGGAAAATCTCGTTCTATTCTCGTTCGTTAATTGTTTTGTCGGTCTTTATGCAAGTTTCAGTAGAAACAAAAGCTGTAAAATAGGTGAACAAATGCGCCTCGCGGCTGTTTGAAAGATTCGATTAATCCCGGAGCTATCGAGCCGTAGAGGGCGCGGGAAACAAGCAGAGGCGCAGAAGCAAGCGTACAGAAATGGCAACTGTAAAGGGTGGGTCAGGTGACAGAAAGGGCTGAACGACTACTTTAATAGTCACTTGAGGTCAGGAACGATCTTCTATACTCAAGTGTCTGTGTAATTACGTAGAGTTAAGCAAAATGGGCAATAGGGAAGTCGCTTGAACAAACGATTCTTTTTTTTTTCTTCTCTCTCTCTCTATCTCTGTTTGCCGTTAATGTGACTCTCTTATTGTTCGCAGTTCTAGCGTTGCTTTTGTGCGTGCAGCCTAGTGGATGGGAATTAGCTTGAGATGGGGAACCGCTACAAAGACACACGTAAGTAAAATTGTTCTTAATAAAGCTAGAGACTTTGTGATCTAAGAAGATGCACTGTTGCTAATGAACTTTACAAATAGATTAAGACCATGCCACAGGGGCTATCTATCTATCTATCTATCTATCTATCTATCTATCTATCTATCTATCTATTAATACCAGCCCATTCATCTCTCTCTTTTCTCTCTCCTCTCTCTCTCTCTCTCTCTATATATATATATATATATATATGTATATATATTATTTTTCTCATAAGAGATTATAATAAAAACATGTTGAAATCGCTACACAAATGCTTTCATGTTTCAATACTTTGACTGTACTTCTTCAGGCGATGGTAAATAACTGGTGATTAAATGATTTTTAAAGAAATTTAAAAACAACGTGTTACCTCTTTTCAGAAAATTAAAGTAGGGGGGGACATACGGTCAGAGTTAAAAATAGACCTGTGGGTATGTCTTGATTAACCAATTAAATGTCAGATCTACGCTAAATAAAAAAGTAAGCTAAGAGTGTAGAGGATGGTGAGTTATTTTTTTATGTCACGATAAACAGGAACATTGACAATTGTGGAAAATATGTCAGTAACAAATGTATTTACATTAAATGTCTACAGTCACGTTACATTTATGGAAGTGGTTAGCGCAGCTGGTCTGGCTAACCATTGCTACAGGATAATGAGTTCGATCCTTACTGGTTAGCGCATATAAAATTCGACATTGATTTACCCAGTCGACATTTGTATAATCAAGCAGTCTAACTTGATATCTATTTATGAATCTTTTTAATCTGTCGATATTTGCACCTCTTTCTTGAATTTATATTTCTAAGAAATATAATGAGAAAGTCAGTCTTGGGAAATTTAACATCCACAAGACGCACTAAAGACAAGAGAAGCAAGAAAAACAACGAACAGCGTACTTAATGGTATCCTGCGAATGTATAGTTGAATAGGAACAACGACCTATGGTAAAAGATCTAAAGTTACTTAGTGTAAAAAGAAATGAAAAAGATGTAGATAGAAGCAGAGGTTATGGAGAGCTTTGATCACCCATTAAATGTAGAAGATATATATATATATATATATATATATATATATATATATATATATATATATATATATATATATATATATATATATCCGATGTAATGAGAATGAAAATAATATATAAATTCTAACGTTCACAGCATAAATCCAAAAGAGGGTTCGATACCGATAGTAGACCAATAATTATTTATTATAATTTTTCATATATAAAAACAGTTTACTCAAAACAAACATGCAAAATTCGTTTCGGTGCATTTGAATTGCACCTTGACTGGTGAGAACCAAAATTGGTTATGAACAATTCTGCTTAATTTTTGTTCTCACCAGTAGAGGTGCAATTGAAATGCACCGAAACGAAGTTGCATCTTTGTAGTGAGTAAACTGTTTTTGTCTATATGAAAAAATTATAATATATATATATATGTATATATATAATAAACAATAAAATCCAACATTACATCATATGTGGAGTAGTTGTTTCGGCAGACGAAGATATCAGTCTTCTGTCTTATCAACTCCGGTGTAAACTGAATTCCTATCTGTATCTATCTGTATAAATCTCTCAGCACTGACCACACACACGGGACATCTTCCCTAACCTAAATCCAAGACCGTCTTCCTCTATGTTCAAAATCTCCCTCCCCTAATACCTACACCGACAAGGACAAAACAACCTAATTTTTGAATCTAAGTTTATTTTAAGAATTTTCGCACAGCGGGAAATCAAACGGAGATCGGATTTTTAATAATAATACGATCTACACAAGCAGTTACACCAGCCACAAGGACAACACCTGTTGAGTCTTCTCCATTTCTCTGTTTATTTCTCGCACCGATGATAAAGGAGACAGGCGTGCCTGAACAATCCAGATTTAAAACCTTAATTTCCGTGTTTCATTCCTGTCTTGTGGTTAATAATTAATATTTAATAAATATTTTTCGTACCGATCACATTGGTACCCTTTCGTTTGCTTTAAATTTATTAACCAACTTTTCTATCTATCTATCTATCTATCTATCTATCTATCTATCTATTTATCTATCTATCTATCGTTCTAGAGTCCTTGTATATCAGATCCCGTGGGCCTTCCCTTTGTAAACAGAGGGAATGCTTACTGGGTCTGAATGTTATTGGACTTTAGTTTCTTGAAATTCATTTTTTTTTCTCTTCCATTCCATTTGTTAATTTAAATTAATTTACACGCTTTTTAATTTTTCTATTCCCAGAAAAATAAACTTGATAAGTCCTGGGACGAAACCGTTTTTTTTTTTTTAGCATTTTCTTTTAAAAAATGCCTTATAAATTTTGTCTTTTCCTATTTATTATTAAATTCTGTAATAATATATATATATATATATATATATATATATATATATATATATATATATATATATATTTCATTGAATACGACAGACAAGTTGCTTTGATTTAGTTTTTATACAATTTCTCATGCGAACTAATATTTTTTTTCTTTTCAGATGATAAATTATATAAAAACTGCCCGACGCAAAGACTCACCCTACACCTTTCTGATCATAGATCATTAGATCTCATTTAAATTTCCTAGAAGACGTACCGGACACTATTCGTAACATAATTGTTGACAACACAAATATAATAGCATTATATACATGCAAAAAAAAAAGCTAAAAATAATGGATGCCTTATTAATAAAAGCAAAAATACCAACACTTAATAATATCAACTATAAACATGGACACAATATCTTGACCGTGTTTTGATAAATGAAAACATTATAGAAATACATAGATGCAAAAGACTATTTCTTATTTAACTGTTAAAATAATTAATCCTTAAAAATGGCGAAATGTATAGCCGAAAGTGCTCAGATAAAAAGAATATTCGGACAGTTTTAATATAATTTATCATCTGAAAAAAAAAATAGATTGCATGAGGAATTGTATAAAGAACTAAATAAAAGCACCTTTTCTGTCGTATTCAATGAAATGTGTATGAAAGAAAGATTGTTGCCTAAACACACACACACACACACACACACACACACATATATATATATATATATATATATATATATTCTATTCATCTTTTCTTTCTTCGTCTGCCAATTGTTCTCTCTCTTGTCTTTTTTTTTCTCTCTCCCTATTTTCTTTCGCTTTCTTTCATCTTTATCTATCTCTACCTGTGCTTGTTTGAGAAACTTGCAAGACTGCTTGGTAATATTTCTTTCTAGTTTATCTTTCCTAAAATTCATTCTTTCTCAAGTAAACGATTCCTAAATCTAGAATTACATTACGCAAAGGCGCTTCTTCGATTTCATGCTGAATCACTCGGCCATCATCATTGCCTTTGTCATTAAGAGCGGCAATATAACAATGCCGGCAAAAGCTGAATGAAGTGACAATCACTTCAACAGTAATAAACGAAGGAAAGTTACTTCCTTCCGAGACAATTTCCTAACATTACCGTGAACGTTCATAAGTAAATGTACTCAAGAAAGTTATTAAACTATTTGATATCATTAAATATCAGATTCCGAAGAGGATTAAATCAGGAAATAATATCCTTAGACATCGTCAGATTTCTATAGATATCTACACTGCAAATAAATGTTAAAGATAAAGACATGAGCAAAGATAACACACACACACACACACACACACACACACACACACACATATATATATATATATATATATATATATATATACATGGACACAATATCTTGACAGTGCTTTGATAAATGAAAACATTTTATAAAACATACATACAACAAACTATTTCTTATTTAACAGTTAAACGGTTTAATCCTTGAAAATGGCTAAATATATAGCCGAAAGCGCTCGGATAAAAATTCGGTTTGGTTTGGTTTGGTTTCTTTTGTTTTACGGCATATCAACCTCAATGGGTTATTTAATGCCGACAACATTTTTAGGATAGATTTGTATGAATAGAATATATATTCTTTGGTTTAGATTGGTTTGGTTTATTTTATTTTACGGTATATCAACCTCAATGGGTTATTTAATGCCGACAACATTTTTAGGATAGATTCGTATGAATATAATATGTATTCTTTGGTTTAGATTGGTTTGGTTTATTTTGTTTTACAGTATATCAACCTCAATGGGTTATTTAATGCCGACAACATTTTTAGGATAGATTCGTATGAATAGAATATGTATTTTTTGGTTTAGATTGGTTTGTTTCATTTTATTTTACGGTATATCAACCTCAATGGGTTATTTAATGCCGACAACATTTTTAGGATAGATTCGTATGAATAGAATATGTATTCTTTGGTTTAGATTGGTTTGGATTATTTTGTTTTACGGCATATCGACCTCAATGTGTTACTTAATGTCGACAGAATTTTTTTGTTGGTAAAATTTTGTTTTGTCAAAAATCTGTTTCTGGTAATATATTTCCTTCAAAATTGTATTGCTGGTAATAATTTTTTTCAAAAACGTATTGTTGGTAATAGATAACTATTTGCCCATAGCTGGGCCCCTAACAGGTGCTACCACCCGGGGTCGGGGTGGACCTTGGAACACCAGCAATTAAGAGGTGGTTACACGTTCCTCAAAACCTTCTAATGAGAGACCTTGCTGCTGGACGTAGTTTAACGTCTTATCCAGGACGCGGATGTTATTTAACGACTTACCCAGGACGGAATAACATTCGGACAGGTTTTATATAATTTATCATCCGAAAAGAAAAGAAAATATTAGAACGCATGAGAAATTGTATAAAAAACTGAATAAATGCACCTTGTCTGTCGTATTCAATGAAATGTGCATGAAAGAAGGATTGCTGCCTAATTACGCATATATATATATATATATATATATATATATATATATATATGTGTGTGTGTATGTGTGTATATATATATGTGTGTGTGTGTATGTATATATATTTGTATGTGTGTATATATATATATATATATATATGCAATTTTTTATATATATTATTAATATATTATATATGCGCAGTACTTATTGGAAAGCGCTCAATATCAGTGATAGAGCTAACATATTTAGTTGGATTGTGTAATTTTGTGACCCTGGGTTTCACGCTTTTGCGATCGTCAGACAAACTGATTAATTTTTAAATTTTGGATTTATATAGGGTTGCGTATATCGGTGTTTTTATTGAAGTGGGAGGAAAATTATCGTCGGGACATCACTAATACTTACGCAAACATACATACACGACCGTACACTCATTGACGTACGCAGACACATGCACACACGCACGCTCACATACCGGAGCTCACACAAACATAAACATATGTGAACAGTATGGGACTTGATATATATACATATATATGTGTCGTTGTGTACATACGTACGAATTTGGATGCTGTTTTCAATTTTTTAGCGAACAAAAATAGATAAACAGTCTGCGAGTTTAAACGTTGACAGCGCAACAATCAAAAAAATATTCGCTACACAATCCAACATTGAATAATAGCTATTTCTCGAGACGAAACTCTGCCCTTCGACATAGCCTCGTCTGGAGATCCTCTCCACCCGAAAGCAGAGAGTTTGACCAGCATAGCCGGAACAGATCTATTCACTGTTTCCCGAAGTATCGTAGGCAGAAGAGTCTAATATAGTCCTTTAAGAGGGAGGACACCACAACAATTAAGAATAAACTTTCAAGAAATTTACTTAATTTATAAGCGCAGAGAATATTGATATGTGTTGTTAAGATTTAGGCATATTTACTTTAATTTAGAGGTGATTGGGTTTTAATTTTCCTAGACGGATTATGCATCCAATATATGTAACACACAAAGTCAGGACAAGTTTAGGTGGGGCTGAGACATATTTTGTATTAGAAATTTTATCACATAAAGAAAAAAAGCATTTTATGATTAAATTTTGCTCGCGTCAAAATATCCTTCTTCAACTTTGATTACTGCAGCACTAATGTTTGTCATACATTGCAAAAGTTTCTGAAAGTATAAGTTTGATAATTGATTCCATTCTTTTTTGAATGACTCTAAGAACACTTTTTTTTATTTTGTTTCACTCTTCTGTCAAGTTCATTCCATTGTAATTCTGGGGTGGCTTCAAACTTTTGAACTGCAGTATACATACATATATATATATATATATATATATATATATATATATATATATATATATATATATATATGGAGATATCTACAAGCCATTATACAAAAAATATACAAAATTTAGATTGATTATGAGGAAAATACGGTGACACGCCCATGCGCATCTATATATTTTAACGCACTTGCAAAAAATATATATTTCTATATATGCATATTAATTTAATTCATTATTCAGCTATATTAATTATTTAACCGAGTAGAATTATGAAGAATAATGATTTCCCATCTAAGTACGGCTAAGTGAACTATAATCAAATAAAAGGATGCCAAAGTAATGTCCCCTTAAAAGGGGAGGAAATTTCCAGAAATAATATTTGTGTTGGTTTATTTATAATTATATTGATTTATGAGTTTGTTTTCTGTTGTAATTATTAAAGGCTCGGAAGAACACAAAAGAGAATGAGGAACGTTCATGTTAAAAATCTTATAAATAATAAGGTAGGAATTGAAAGAGAGGAAGCTAGAAAGAATCAAGGGGAGTAATGCTATACTAGAGAGGGAGGAGGAGAGACGGAGAGAGAGAAAGTATGGAGAGAGGAAGATAAAGAAAATGAGAAAGCGTGTCTTTGTGAGTGAGTGAGATAGAGAGAGTGAGAAGAAGGGAGAGAAAGAGAAAGTGAATGAGAGAACTGAAAGAAGCAAAAAGAAGATATAAATATAAGAGTGATTGGTAAAGACTATATAGCGGATCAGGTTGGGGTGAGATAGAAAAGGAGATCGATAGACTAAAGGGAAATAAGAAAGAGAGAGATAGAGAGAGAAAAGAGAGAAAGAAAGAAAGAGGCAAACAGAGAAAGATACTGGCATATGTTCTTGTTGCTTACACCTGCTCACTCAGGATTGTCATGCTCTCTCTTTCTTCCTGTTCTTTCCTCTGTGGCGTTGGCGGAGATGGATGTGTATAAGAAAGTTTGACCTGGCCATTCACGTGTATTTAATTCAAAACTACACACGTTAAACGTTGAAAACAGCCCAGCCCCAGATTTACACGACTGACAAATGTAATCTAGTCTATATAGAAACACAGCGCCATCTACCGTAAACTTTCCTTAAGCCTCAGTCAGTCAGTCAGTTATGTGCCATGCGTGATGCACGCGTAGGCGATCTTTCGGATTGACTGACGAGGCAGATTTTTTTTCCGCAGTAGGTTGCCATTTCCTTCTGTGATAGACCAGCTGCCATCCAAGGCTATAGGACCTGGTCTGTCCCGCTATTTACCCTTGGTAAGATGATTCATACCTTTCCCAAGGTTATTAGCACTTAAGTGAGTGTAATAGATTCGACTGGAATTCGAACTCGGCTCCCCGATCCCGCAATCCGAGTCGCTACTCCACCGTGCCTACTTAAACTTAACTCAAAAACGAAGGATTATCGGACATACCTTTATATGGATTTCCCTCTTTGTTTTGGTATGCTAAACCCAAAGTGTTTTGATACACCCTGTATACTTCCCAGAAATATCTCCTACATAATGGTATGATATTAGATCGATGAAAACACTATTGCCAAACAACCCCCCTCCTGAGTTGCAAATCTCATAAACCACGTGTCATTCGCACATAAATGAACTTTTTTGAACTGACTTTGTTAGTAACATATACTGGATACATAATATGCCTCGGGAAACTAAAATCCAGTCGCCTCTAAATTAAAGTAGATATTCCTAAATCTTAACAACTCATATCAATATTGTCTGCGCTTATAAATTAAGTAAATTTCTTGAAAGTTTATTCTTAACTGTTGTGGTGTCTTCCCTCTTAAGGGACTATGTTAGACTCTTCTGCCTACTATAAGAAGGCTTTGGGGAACAGTGAATAGATCTGTTCCAGCTGTGCTGGTCAAACTAGAAATTCGAACTCGGCTCTCCGATTCCTCAATCCGAGCCGCTATCCATTGCTCCACCGTTTGATTACGTAAATTTAGCCACTAAGTATTTATCTAAACAACTTTTATTAAATTCAAGCGACAACGGCAATCTGTTTATTTTTTATTGCATTTTTCGAATTTTCAAATACCTTATTGCATATCAGGTTTGTGGATACAGTGTCCCAAATTCAAGTAAGTCCTGTTGTTTTGTTCAAATACTTTCGACTATCGCAGTCATTATAAAGAACCATGTACTGTCAGTGTGGTAAGTAATATTTCATTGTCTACATGCTTGTACTTTACAGACAGTGGAAGTTTGAAACAATCTACAGTGACGTCATGTGTAACGGCTAAATGGAGCGAGACTACGCCAAAAAGAATGCATCCAATATTTCGCGTTTTATATTTATTCTTATTTTGTGCGCAAATCAAATAATTTATTCACGCTTCAAGATATATTCTGGAAAAAATCTTTGTTATTCTAAAAATTGAAAAACGCAATATGCAAAAAAAAAAAAATTCTTCTTACAAATCGATAAAAATTAAAGATACATATGTTTTATACGCAGTCCCCCCCATATGGGGGACTTCAATGTTCACTTTGATATATATATATATATATATATATATATATATATATATATATATATATATATATACAAAAGTGAACATTGAAGTCAACACTCAGAGCGAGAGAGGGGGAGAATGAGAGTGGGAGAGGAGAAAGTGAGAGGGAGAGAGAGGGAGAAGAATAGGAATGAGAGAGAGGCACGAGAAAGAGAGAGAGAGAGAGAGAGTAGCAGCAGAATGAGAGTGGGAGAGAAGAAAGTCTGTCGCCTCTGAGTGTTGATTTCAATGTTCACTTTTATATTTATATTTTCATACGCTCTATCTCTGATATTGAGCACTTTATCCCATAAATATAGCACACCTTAAAACTATATTTCTTCATATATGTATGTGTGTATGTGTGTACAAACATGTTTTATGCAATAACACTGACAAGGTCTGTCTATTAAACTTTTAATATTGTCTTTTCAATTTCCGACTGAACTGTTTTATATCGGGATAAAAAAATTATTAATAAACTGTCCAAAGTTAATTTTTTATTACATTCGAGGACTTCTGGCAGTCACAGGCATTGTCAATAATTGTGAGCAATGAGTATATTAAGTAAGATGTGTTTAACTCAATTCAGGAATTTTCAGATGGCTGGATTTAGAATTTGAATCGTTTAAAGGTCATGTCATCTGCAACGGTGTGTGTGTCTTTGTGTGTGTGTGTGTGTGTGTGTGTGTGTGTGTGGGCGTGTGTATGGACGTGTGTGTGTGGAAGAAGCGAGATAAAGTAAGTAATATCGAAATAAAATAAAGGACCTAATAAAAAAAGTAAAAGATATATAGAACGAAATAAGGTGACTTTAAAAATAAATTGGCAAATCGAAAAGTAGAGTCAAAAACATGCGAACAAAAGCTAAAATAGATAGATAGATAGATAGGTAGATAGATAGATAAAGGAGAGGAGAATGAGAGTGAGAGAGATGAATGAAAGAGAGAGGGAGGGAGGAGAATGAGAGTGACAGAGAAGAACGAGAGAAAGAACGAAGAAGGAGAATGAGATTGAGAGAAAAGAACGAGAGAGAGTGAGAGAGAGAGAGAGAGAGAGAGCGAAGCAGGAGAATGGGAGTGAGGGAGAAGAACGAGAGCGACGAAAGAGAATGAGCGCGAGAGAGTAGAACGAGAGGGAGGAGAATGAGAGTGAGAGAGAAAAACGAAAGAGAGAGAAGATATTGAGAGTGAGAGACAAGAACGCGAGAGAGAGAGAGAGTGGTAAGGGAGGAGAATGAGAGTGAGGGAGAAGAACGAGAGAGGAGAATGAGAGTGAAGGAGAAGAACGAAAGAGAGAGAGGATATTGAGCGTGAGCGACAAGAACGCGAGAGAGAGGGGTAAGAGAGGAGAATGAGAGTGAGGGAGAAGAACGAGATAGAGTCTGGAGGAATCGATGAACTGGACACGGTGGTCAAGCTCTGGATCAAAGTGGGACCATACATATACCACTAGGATTCTTTTCCTTTCCACATAGACGATGCGACGCAAATGTGGCTGTCTGAGAATTCCCAATGTCATATCTTTTATAATATATGGTTTCTGAGATCTCCTGTGTTGAATATCCTGGACAAGTCGATGTGGGACATCGCCGTCAACCAGCATCTCCACAATACCAAGAGATTTATTACAAGCGCCATAACAGATGACGAACGAAAGACACGTGTTGCAAGGAAGGCAATGGTTTTCAAGGCTGAATCGACGGCGGGTTTATTGAAGAAACTTTTCCTATGTTTTCTAAGTTGAACATAATTCGTAATACTTTTGCAAATAGACATATTTTCTTCTGTTTAATTTATTTTCTTTGCTTTATATTCTTGTTTGTTCAGAATGCCTTGACGAACTCTGTACATAAATAGAGAAATATGGAATGAAAATAAACAAGCGAAATATTGCAGTAATGTCATATACCCCAGGCAAAAGAATTTGTGATCACAGAGAAAGAGTGACAGAGATAGATAGATAGATAGATAGAGAGAGAGAGAGAGAGAGAGAGAGAGAGAGAGAGCGGAGGGAAGGAAGGATAGAAAGAAATCTAGTAATAGAGGGAGTGAAAAAGAAAGAAAGAAACGGAGCGATAGAGAAAGAAAGAAAGAAAGAAAGAAAGAAAGAAAGAAACAACGCGATAGAGAGAGAAACAGAGCGACATATAAGGAGCGGAAAGGAAAGAAAGTAAGAATTAGAGGAACAGAAAAAATAAATAAAGAAAGAAAAAGCGAAAGAGAGCGACAGAAAGAAACTTGGCGATAGATAGATAGATAGATAGATAGATAGATAGATAGATAGATAGATAAAGAACGGACTGAGATACATACATAGATACATAAAAATAGACTGAGATAGATAGATAAAGATCAGACTGAGTTACATACATAGATACATAAGAATAGACTGTGATAGATAGATAGATAGATAGATAGATAGATAGATAGATAGATAGATAGATAGATAGATAGATAGATAAAGAACAGACTGAGATACATACATAGGTACATAAGAATAGACTGTGATAGATAGATAGATAGATAGATAGATAGATAGATAGATAGATAGATAGATAGATATAATAGATAGATGATAAATGAACCGGTGATAGATAGATAGATAGATAGATAGATAGATAGATAGATAGATAGATAGATAGAAAATGAACCGGTGATAGATAGATAGATAGATAGATAGATAGATAGATAGATAGATAGATAGAATGACAAATTTCCAAAGAAAGTGCCAAAGAAAGAAAGAAAGCGACATAGAAAAAAGCGACTAGGGGATAGAAAAGGGGAGAGAAAGAGAGCAAATGAAAGCGGTAACGAGAGAGAGAGAGAAGTGAGCGAGAAGACAGAAAGAAAGAAAGAAAGAAGAAAGGAAGGAAGGAATGGAGGAAGGAAGGAAGGAATGGAGGAAGGAAGGAAGGAAGGAAGGGAGGAAGGAAGGGAGGAAAGAACGAACTAAAGAATGAAAGAAAATACGGTAGAGATGGGGAGAGAGAGAGAGAGAGAGTTGTGAAGGTAGAAAACTATGTATGATCATGATGTGTCTAAAATAGACTCCCAAATTCCTGTAAAAATGACACCTTTACTGAGAAGTTACACACCCATGCGTTCCTGCAATTATGTTTTCTTGCAATTACAATCTTTCTATAACTTAACAGTGAAAATTTTAAACATAACAAAGATGTTAATTGCAATAACAAAGACGAAACGGCATCATATACAGTCAAAATATAGTAACGTGATAGGTGAAAAAGATTTAAAAATCGCGTCTAAAACGTCAAGTGTTAAGAGAAAAAAATAAATAAAAAACTACATACACAAACCCCCTTAACTGAACCTGTCAGATTCCCGGACATTTGTGACTCAGATAATAATAACTGTAATAGCTCAGATTCAGTGTGAGATGCGTGTCACTTCCGCAAGGCAGGATCTTTTCATTACACCTGAAAGGCTAGAGTCAGAAGTAATCGCTGACGCCTGAGGTATCCCAAAAATAAGTACCCAAGGAGCTTAACAATTAATGTTCTCTGTGCTATGTACGTGTGGACGTACCCAGTATATAAAAAAAGGCCATCTGCTATTTGCTCTCTCTCTTCCTCTCCCTCTCTCACGCATGCCGCACGCACGCATGTACATTTTCTAGAAGAAATTACTAAGTGTAATAGGTCGGTGAAATACTGAATGATTTTTTTAACATATTAAACAGAAAATATAAGAAAACAAAACAGTAAGTATTCATTTAGGAGGTATATAACAATAACCTTTTGTATTAGGTTGGTGTAAAAATAATGACGTATTAATGTCGTTTTTTGACGTTAAAAATACGTCAAAAAACGACATTATTACGTCATTATTTTTGCACCAACCTAATATGTGAACACATCGTAGAATCAGATCGCAAATAGGGCAAGCACTTTTCTTAAAGATACTGGAATGAAGAATGCGATGTTTATGGCCAGAATGGTATCTGAAAGAGTAATACAAATTTAAAAGCAAGTGTACCTATGTTTTATAGATATTGCAAAAGCGTTTGATAAAGTAAGGTACAAAAGACTGATTGAACTGCTAGGTATTAGGTTGGTGCAAAAATAATGACGTAATAATGTCGTTTTTTGACGTATTTTTTAACGTCAAAAAATGACATTCTTACGTCATTATTTTTGCACCAACCTAATAAATTTAGTATATTTAGGAAAGATATTAGAATAATCCAGAAATTATAATGTGGACGAACCGTCTGCATACGGATAGGAATTAAGTTCAGTAAATCCACAAAAACAGGTGCGTAAAACAAGCATGTTTCTTCTCAATGAACTTTTTCAACTTTTACAGTGAGGTAATCCTGAGAGAAATAGTAGTCCTACCCGGATTAATTCTTGTCGGCTTCAATCTTATCAACATAAAATATGTATTTACATTATTTACATTATTCGGATTATTATCCTCCTCTACATTTCCATATTCACAGCATTTCGGCTGTTGTACGCTCCGACCTTCTTCAGGAGAAAATTTCGAACCGAACGCTTTAGGGTTAGATTGTTCTAGTTCCACCTGCCATGCCTCTTAGTCTCAAGGAGACATGGCCCAATGGATAAAGACGTTGGTTAGAACCAGTGACTAGATGCAAAGAGTTGTGAGTTCAGTACCAGGGTAGAACAGTGGTGATCCAAAACTTGAAGAGCTGAGTTAAAGGGAAATAACTGAGACGTCCGGAAGATGCATGGCACGTGGAACTAGAACAATGTACCCCGGTAGACGAAATAAAGGTTTCGGTTTGAAATTTCAATCACCTGAAGAAGCCCGGAGCATACAACGACCGAAACGTTAATAATATGGCAATGAAGATGAGGATAACAGTCCGAAATAATGTAAGTAATATAAGTAATCATAATACCTCATTTCAGAGATATAGAGGCCGAAACGTTGTGAATATGGCAATGAAGATGAGGATAACAGTCCGAATAATGTAAGTAATCATAATATCGCATTTCAGAGATATAGACAGATAAAATATATAGATGACACAGTATTGATAGCATATATATTATCTGGTGAATATTGGCTTGTGGTATACGGATGTCTTGAACCCATATTCATAACGTTGGTCTTGAAAAGGGCTTCCAATCTGTGGTTGACTGGGGCAGGAAATGACTTGCAAACTTTAATGTCTCCAAAACGAAACAGCTCTCAATTACCCACCACAGAGAACCCTTCCTGCCTCCCGTCAGAATGGCTGATGACCAACTCCACGAGAGGGCCTCTCAGCGACTGCTTGGTCTCACGTTGTCCACTAACCTGTGGTGGAACAACTACATTGAATCAATAGCTTCATCTACCGCCAGGTAAGTTGGTTCTCTGTGTCGCGCCAGAAGGTTTTTCTCGCCTGAGTCCATCCTTCAAATCTACAAATCAACCATTCGTCCTTGCATGGAATACTCCCGCCATATATGCTCTGGTACCCATGCTGTTCATCTCGAGGTCCTCAACAAAACCCAGATACGTATATGCAATGCGAGAGGTTCTGATCTAATAACTCGTCTACAGTCACTTGCTCACAGACGTGCTGTGGCTTCCCTCTGTCTTTTCATGACAACTGTTCTGGCGAGTTACTTTTGCTGGTTCCCAAACTGCATGAATTTAAGCGTGCTACTAGGTTGGTATCTCGGTCCCACGCTTTCACTGTCGAAACGGTTAAATGCAGCCGTCTCTTCTATTCCAAAAGCTTCTTATTTCGCACTTCCCGCCAGTGCAACTCCCTTCCTCTTACTTGCTTCCCTGATAGTTATAATCTTCAAATATTCAAATGTAATGTCAATCGATATCTTCTGATGCCTTGATCTTGATCCCCTGCTTCTCTTTATTCTTTCCCTTAACACTCCTCTTTACCCTTGCTCTCACTCTTTGTAACCTCTTGAATGTTAGTGGCACCCCCGTCTTGCTTGGGGAGATATGCTTAAAAAAATGTCGACAAGTTATGACTTTGTATTTATTCTTTCTTTGTTTTGTGATGTCAGTGAGCACTCGTTGAAACTTTTGTAATGCAAACAAATACTCGTTGTCACTTTCGTAATGCTCGTTGTAGTAGAGACTTTGTAATCGCAGATACAACTATTAGATTGGTGCAAAAATAATGACGTAATAATTTCGTTTTTTGACGTTAAAAAATACGTCAAAAAACGACATTATTACGTCATTATTTTTGCACCAACCTAATATAATAACGCCGTTGAACAATACTGGTGTCAGACGCCTTCGAATAACCTAGCATCAACGGCACCTGCTCGATAATACTCGCTTGAATAGTAATCCGTATAGTGAAATAATAATAGAGGATAGAAAAGAAATAGCGATCAATTAGACACACGCCATCTCATATATATACGTTCCCTTTATGGAAACGTGATCTACTTAATTTAATAATGGGATCGCCTGTGTTTGCTCACTGGCGATCTATGTTCAAACTCAAGTGTCGGCAGCAAGACATTATTCCTATATAACACTTTTGGTGGTAAGTACTGTTATAAAAGTTTTAAATTTGAATATACTATCAATATATGAAATAGTATCTATATTTTGTGTTTAAGCCTATATATCATATATATATATATATATATATATATATATATATATATATATATATATATGCATGAGGTATATTTAGGCATACACCAGAGGAGAAGTTATCTTGAAGTGTATATGACATAATTAATGTATGCACATATGTTATTAGTATTATAATTATAAACAAAAAAATAAAATAAAAATTTAAATTAAATTAGTAAACAAATAAATCGAATTTTTTGCAGACTCGTTCTCATTATATTATGACGTCACGCTAGACCATTTCAAACGTCCAGCCTTCCAAAGAACACTAAGATGCAGACAAAGGAATTCTAACTACGGCACTGACAACACATTCGTTCTTGATAATGACAGCGAAAGTCGAAAGTACTCAATCTCTAAGCACAATAATCAACACATCCAAAAATTGAATAAAAAATTAAACAGACCTTGTCAATTCTTTTTAATCAAACTTGTTTGGGATATATATGCCTGTGTCTATATACGTGTCAATGATATATGACTGAGACATTTAGATAGATAAATAGATAGATAGACGAGGTCATGATTTTAGTTCACGAGATAAGATGGATAAACGAATAGCAATAAACATAAGGAAGAGACGAAACGTATAAAAGCAAATTAAGGCGAATCTTGAGAGAACAAAGAAAGACATAAGTATGAGTTATAATGAAAGAGCAATATCATGTCATAAATAAATTGGGATGGAGACTAAAATTTGTCTTCATTTCCTTCCATAATTAATTGATGTCAATCATTCAGCGCAAGTCTTGCCACCATAATCATATTTGTAGCCATTTGCACCATCTGATTTCTTTTTCCTCATTCTCTCTTGTTCCTTTTCTCGACATTTCTGTTTCTTTTCTTTTTCTTTGTCTCGTCTCTTTCCGTTTCTTGCCTCTTGAAATTTGTGATATTACTATTTACAAACTCCGCCATTAAGCTTACTTTATTATCTCATCTATTCATTTTGATGTTTTTTTAAAAAAAAGTCTACCATAGTTTCTATCTATCTATCTATCTATCTATCTATCTATCTATCTATCTATCTATCTATCTATCTGTCTGTCTGTCTGTCTGTATGTATGTATGTCTGTCTGTACAATTTTTATCAATCTATATCTGTATCTGTACAATGTCTCTTTATCCGTACAATTTATATCTATCTATCTATCTATCTATCTATCTATCTATCTATCTATCTATCTGTATAATGTTTATCAAACTATCTTTCTGTCTGTCCCAATTTCTGTCTACCTGTACAATTTCTATCTATCTATCTATCTATACATTTTTATGAAACAATATCTCTATCTGCAATTTCTATCAAATTTCTATCTATCTATATATCTATATGTATAATTTTTATCAAACTATCTCTCTGTCTGTACATATTTCTGTCTACCTGTACAATTTCTATCTATCTATCTATCTATCTAGACATTTTTATGAAACAATATCTCTATCTGTGCAATTTCTATCAAATTTCTTTTTATCTATCTATCTATCTGTACAATTTTTATCAAACTATCTCTCTATCTGTACAAATTTCTATCTCTCTGTACAATTGCTATCTATCTATCTATCTATCTATCTATCTATCTATCTATCTATCTATCTATCTATCTATCTATCTATCTATCTATCTATCTCCCGTTTCCAGCTTCTTCGCTTTATTTTTTCAAAAAATTATTTATTATAAATTCCTGTTATCTTGTTCTGTCTCTTCGTTATTTCGTTTACATTTACCTTACAAATTCCTTGATGCTCACATGTTCCTTTTATGTTATTCTCAACATCCACCAATTGTACCACATACAAGGTGTTTCAACCTTATCTTCAGCTTTTACAAAATTGTTCAGCATTTATTCTTATATAGAATCATCACTCACGTCTTTGTTTCTGACAAAAACTTTCCTGCTTCCTAATACTTTGTTTAGCTTTTGAAAGGCATCTTACGTTATTTCATTGCACCTCTTGATTGCTGCGTCACATTTTTCATCTCTGTGGTATTTATACTTTATAAATTTAAACACAGTTCTAGAATGACAGCAAGGTTTCATAAAATAACAGGTGAATTGAATAGATGCAACCGTAAGTTCTATGCTAACCGCTTGTTTTCTCGTACTTCTCGATTGTAGAACTCTTCTTCTTGCTTTCTAACCAACTTTGATCATAATGTAAATGCAATGTCAATCTTTATCTACTGATTTTGATTACTCTTCTATTGTTTTCGCTCCTTAATAATGCTTCACTTTTTCTTTATTCATCTACAATCAGTAGCCCCCTTGTGTCTTAGCCACTTTATTGCCTTACATGAGGGAAAATGATTAAGGAAAATCTCGCACTGCTTCATCATTTATATCGGAATCTATCTGTAGAAATTCTATCTATCTATCTATCTATCTATCTATCTATCTATCTATCTATCTATCTATCTATGCATTTTCTATCTACGTAATTCCCATCTATCTTTGTTTTCAATATTAGCTCTGATTTCTTTATCTCCTTCATTTGATGTTTTAAAAAAAGGCTACCATAGTTTCTATCTCTCTGTCCCTCTGTCTATCTATCTATCTATCTATTTGTACAATTTTTATCAAACTATCTTCACAATTTCTATCTATCTATCTATCTATCTATCTATCTATCTATCTATTTGTACAATTTTTATCAAACTATCTATCTTCACAATTTCTATCAAATTTCTATCTATCTATCTATCTATCTATCTATCTATCTATCTATCTATCTATCTATCTATCTATGTTTGTCTGTCTGTCTGTCTGTCTGTCTATCTGTGTACAATTTTTATCAACCTATCTCTCTATCTGAAATTTCTATCGACCTGTACAATTTCTATCTATCTATCTATCTATCTGTACAATTTAAATCGAAAATTTATTTCATTATTGCCATTCTCGCTGCTCGGTCACCTGTCGTATTCATACCTTTAATTAAACCAGCTCCACTTTTTGTCATCTATTTCCACTTTTTTCTTCGAATTTATTTTTCTTCATTCACTTTTACTACAGCCTCATCTAGCCTCTACGATATTATCTTTTACACCGTCTTTTCTCACCTGTTTCTTCTTTCTTTCTTATCGTATGTGTTCCATGTTTGGTCTTCAACTCTTATCAAAATCAACTTTGCTTAATTGTTTTTCTATTTGTCTTCGTTACCAATATTAGCACTAATTTCTTTCTCTCCTTCATCTATTCATTATCTGACATGACGTAAGATTCCATCGAAATCTTCGTCCGTTTTTTTACTATTTAAAGCATTCTCTCACACCTTTGCCCCGTATTCGCATCTGTTTTACAGTATTAACTACAATCATCAGCAGTTCTCTTTCAGAAAGGATTCTTTATGCCGCCATTATTTCGTGCAGCCATAATTCGTCCGATGCTACAGTTATATATTCTCGCCATTTTTTCTCATTCCCATTTGAGCAATTTCGTCAATTTACCTTAATTTAAGTTCCATATTTTATTCCATTACACATTGCTTTCTCTTCTTAGATATCATGTATTTATTTTTATCTGAAGCTGTTCATATCTATCTATCTAGCTAGCTAGCTAGCTAGCTATTTCAGCTGTTCATATCTATCTATCTATCTATCTATCTATCTATCTATCTATCTATCAACGCGTCTCGTCATTGAATAATGATAGTGTGTTTTATTTTCATTGGGTGTCGCATAAAATATTTGATATAAAATAACAAAAGTTGTCATGAATTCAACGCTGACCTCATCTATCTATCTCAGCCTATATATATATATATATATATATATATATATATATGAAAAATTTTGAAAAAAAAAAAAAAATCCTTAAATGTAGTTAAATGAAAGAAATGTCGACGTCTGACGTTTCGGTTTATTAAACCTTTTTCAAGACAATATTCATCAAAATACAATTCAGTTCAATATGACAAATACGATGGACATAAAAACACAAGTCTTATTCAGAACAGATAACTGAAAATTTTTCTTTCATTTAACTACATTTAAGGATTTTTGTTTGTTTTTTCAAAATTTCTTCATTCTGTCGGATTTATATCCATTTACACTTGCTTATATATATATATATATATATATATATATAAATTCGACCTTGCTGACCGATCGATCCTCTGTGGTGAAATCGATAAAAGCATGTCAGGCTATATGATGGTTCCGTATAGGATACAGGTTCGAATCTTGTCGGAGGACGGATATTTTCTATGAAAATTTCTCGGTCATTCAAACCGGTAAATGTTATTTATACTGTTTATTATAAATATTACTTAAATATATTGTCTTAAAATAATTGTCGGACTTTGTCCATTTCATAATGTGTGTGTGTATACACACACTCCTCGTCATTGAATAATGCTAGCATTATTCAGTTTTCGTATTGGGTGCCGCATTGCATGCCACATTGGGTGCCACATTGGGTGCCGCATACAATATTTGCTATTAAATGACTCAACAATAGTATTCATGTCATGAATTCAACCTTGGCCCTCGTCTATCTATTTATCTATATTTTTCCATATCTGCCTTTCTATCTATACTTCTCACATCTACTTCTCTATGCATACTTCACATCGCCACATTTCTTTGCCGATGTCAAGATTAGACATAGATGTTGCAATCTTTTCTTAATACTGCCTGCAATTCTTCGGTGGTTATTAGAAAGTAGTTCCTCTTCTTGTTAATGCACCGATACCGACAACGATGATGCTATTGGGTTAAATCATTTTGGGTCCGTGTCTTGTGTCCTTCATTGACCTTACAGACTAAACCTGGATATAAACATATATCTACTATCCGGACATGGAAAGTTTATGTACTTCTGTTGCCACTGCTCTGTGAGGTTTCTTCTATACCTTCTTCAGTCATTGGCAACGATTCATGCTGATCCAAGTGAATGCGTCACATCTTCGAGGTGCTTTAGGCGGACAGCACTGATCTGCAAGTTGGATATTCTTGGGAAATTTGTGCCGGCTTCCTGATTGCCGATAGCCGTGCAATAGGTCAGCATGTAGTAGCTGTCAAGGGACCTTTTCTTCGTACGTGAGAATGGCTTGTCCAGCATTTCACCGTTATTCAAAGTGCTAACTCAGACATTTTCTTTTAATTTATCGTTGAATTTAATAGACTGAATTCTTCATTTTACCATGGGCATTCGATCGGACCGAAAAATGACCAGATTCAATCAAAATCGATGCCCCTTTTTCCTTGTTGATTGGTTGATTTGGTTTAGCGACATAGCAACACCTCTATGGGTTATTTAATGTTGAAATGTAAATATTTTGAACAGAATTTTATGGCTTCAACTAAATATATTTGGAACGCAATTGTATGCTTTTAACTCCTGATGAAATGAATTGGTAATTTTTACTATAAAATGAATTAAGATGGGGTCCACGTTGCTCAAAACTTACAATTTGCCGGTCTTGCTGAAAGAACTACCCTTGTTGGTAACTTACACGACCTCACATCTTATGTACAAAGATGAAACCAAATTATAGCTATGGTCTAGAAGCATTTTAGTCGACCATATTTATTTTTGGATGTCATTTCTTCACGTAGTTGAGATTTCTAAGTGGTTCCGACCATATTTGTAAGAGAAATGAAATATATTGAATTTTCTGAGCTAACTTATTGGAAAAAGGCTGTTTCCAGAAGCAGTTACTGCTAAACAAATATGTACCGCCTTATTTGAAATTGATTTGACATTTCTATTCTATATACACTTAAGCCTTAGACCAGATCCACAGCTTTCTTTCTTTCTTTCTTTCTTTCTTTCTTTTTCGTTCTTTGTTTCTTTCTTTGTTTCTTTCTTTTTTCTTTCTTTTGCTCTTTCGCTCTTTCTTTCTTTTTCTTTCTTTCTTTCTTTCTTTCTTTCTTTCTTTTGCTCTTTCTTTCTTTCTTTCTTTTGCTCTTTCTTTCTTTTTTCTTTCTTTCTTTTGCTCTTTCTTCCTTTCTTTCTTTTTTCTTTCTTTCTTTTGCACTTTCTTTCTTTCTTTTTTCTTTCTTTCTTTCTTTTGCTCTTTCTTTCTTTTGCTCTTTCTTTCTTTTTTTCTTTCTTTCTTTTGCTCTTTCTTTCTTTTTTCTTTCTTTCGGTCTTTCTTTCTTCTTTCTTTCTTTCTTTCGTTCGGTCTTTCTTTCTTTCTTTTGCTCTTTCTTTCTTTCTTTCTTTCTTTCGCGCTTTCTTTCTTTCGCGCTTTCTTTCGCGCTTTCTTTCTTTCTTTCTTTCGGTCGTTCTTTTTTCTTTCTTTCTTTCTTTCTTTTGCTCGTTTGTTCTTTCTTTATTTATTTCTTCTTTCTTTCTTTCGTTCGGTCTTTCTTTCTTTCTTTGAACTCACTCACTCTCGATCAATCTATCTATCTATGAATCCATCTATTTTTATTGGCCGTAATTTTTTCAAAAGTACACAGGTGCTCAGTAGAAGTTCCTTGAGGCAACAGCAGCCTTAAGTTTGGAGCGTAAAAAACCATAGAGTTTCTAGTATAATATAAGAGAATTCCCTGATAAAAGGGGCACATTATTGTCCGATGTCTTTATTCCTTTGGGATTTCAACGGACTAAACTCATGATGTGAATATCCATACGCATAATGGAAATTTTAAATTTTAATTATTTTTTCAAATATGTGTATCAACCGTAATCAAGATGTTATTTCGTAAAAATTCCTTAAAATATTAGCTGTAATATAATGCAGGATTATTTAGGAGTGATCAAATTCAGAAGTTTCTCTAACACATCAAATTTACGTTATAAGCTGAATTAATTTAAACAAATTATGTCATCATAAAAATTACTTTTTATATAGTGAAAAGAAATATCATCGGTAAATACAATTAGATGATGAAACAATCTGCTGAAGATTGGATGTGAAATATAATTCTGAATCTCTGAGTACGGATTAAAATTAGATAAGTGAACGATTTTAATTCCTTAGTAATAATTAACAAAGCTGTGTGTTAATATTCTTCTTCTTATAATATATATATACATATATATATATATTATATGAATCATTCATACAAAAAATAGATATAGAAGTTAATGATATAAATGGCGAGATCTCGCCATTTAAATCATTAACTTTTATATCTGTTTTTGTAAGAATTATTCATGCACTGTATACTTGATATATATATATATATATATATATATATATATATATATATATATATATATATATATATGGTAAATTTCTCAGAATAAATTAGTGGAGAAGACAAATTGAATAAAATAGACAATTGGAAAATAGTACTTCGTCCTTGCCGACGTGTTTCGTCATTTGATTTTATCAAAGCAAATGATGATAAACAAAAGCGAAATGTGCTGTGTAGTTACATGAAATTCAACATTTAAAAAAAAACACATTCTTCTGTATGCGTCTTTTTGGATATTAGTAATTTTCTTTTTTCACTAAGAGTGTGTGTGTGCGTTTTTGTTTTTCATGTCGACAATGTGTGAAAGTTCTCAGAATATATCTGTAGAGAAGACAAATTAAATAAAATAGACAATCGAAAAATAGTACTTCGTTCTTGCCCACACACACACAAATATATATATATATATATATATATATATATATATATATATATATATATATATCGTTCTTCGGTAGAATTGAGGAGGTGTAGCGTTTACATACCTCATCTATATAAATACGATGGCTTAGGTGCAGAATCTCTGACTGCTACCAAATCTGTCGAGTTTCGATTCCAGCTTGAAGCAGTCGGATGTCTAACCACACTGATGAGCTGCGATACAGCGAAACAATCTGCATATATATGTGTATGTATTTGTCTGCGTGTGTACGTATGTATTTGTCGATCCATTAATCAATCTGTAAACTAATATTCGAAAAATCATTTTCTATAACAAATATTTATTTTTCAGCATAGTCTCCTCCGTTGCTATTGTCACTTAATTATATAAATGGAAATTTATAGTAAAACATTTCAACTCGAAGTTCAATTAATATCAAGCTGCCTATTCTGACCTCTCTTTTTTTGTTGTTTTTGTTTTTTTCCTGGCCTGAATGAAATACTACAGCTGACGTTCTTTGGCAGACAAGACAGGTAATCTAAACTGTTCTGTTATTTGTCCTTCACTTGGAAACAGATCCATTGATGACTTTCCAAATGGTATTAGTTAAGGCAAAACTCGGTTTTTATTTGAACTCGCTTCGTTGATTTTACTTTCCGCGTCGATAACTGTTAATATTTTTTTTTTTTACATTTGACTATCAAATATTTGGTTGCTTATCAAGGGATGCGTTCTTATCACAACCAACTCATATCTTATTTACTGTCAGTTTCTTTCCCGGATCATTATGTATCTTTCCACAGATCGGGGTGCTAATCCATTTCCTCAACTAATTATTAATACTATATCTCATCCAGGTCAATTGATACTCCCCCATTCTCTCTCTTTCTCTCTCTCTCTCTCTCTCTCTCTGCACTTGTCCACCTAATTAATATTTCACTCCTTCGCCCTCTAGTGGCAATAACTTCCCCACAATCACAAACTGTTTTCTTATCTTTGCGGATACCGTCCTGTGTCATCAAGTCTTATAGGTTCTGACGTCTTCATCAGACGAAATCGCAATATTAAAAGATGACCCAAATAATGGAACTTCACATGCCCTGGTGGCATAAAACGTCATCGGCTGAGAAAAAAAAAAAAAAAAAAAAAAAACACACACATTTTAACTCGCGAAATAATAATAATAATAATCAAAAGACCACAAACAAAAACGCTGCCTCCTTGTTGATATGACAGTCCCTGCTGACTGCAATGTATCTTTGAAGATATTCAAAAAGCTGTCAAAATACCTTGACCTTGAAATATAAATCTAAAAATGTGGCATATGGGAACATCAACAATCCCTGTTGTAGTTGGAGCCCTAAAACTAGTTGGAAAAGATTGCAGTAGACTAATTGAAGGGATTCCTGGAAGTCCATGCCTCAAGGAGATACAAAAAATTGTTCTGACAAGTCCAGCCCACACTTTACGAAGTGCTTTATCTATGTAATTTTTTTTTTTTTTGTCAGTGGAAAGTGTCATGATACCATTCCTAACCTTAGGCGGGAAACGGAAAGAAATGTGTAAACGCCAGAAATCAAAGAAAATAATAATAATAATAATAATAATAATAATTTTATTCTTGCTGCACAGAAGCAATGCTTGCTAACTAAAAATTACCAAGCGCACATACCTAAAAATTGTATTGACACCAAAGGCAGTTTCTGTGATAAATATCGAGAATAATTGACCATATTGCATCAGGTTGCACAGTGATAGCACCCACTGAATATAAAACTCTGCATCATAGAGTAGGCCTGTCACTATAGTGATTTTCTAAGCGTAGCTTAGATGTGGCACAAGGCAGAAACTATGGCTCATTCAGGAGCGGGTCTGTCACTATATAGGATAGAATAGGGCGTAATGCACGTGTCTGGTATATCCTTATCAGATCGGGTGTCATGATGGGTACATTGGGCTTTGTATATTTGTACACTAGCTTCACTTTGTTATCATGCAGTCCTCTCAAATAATAATAATAACAATAATCGATGTATTTGCATGAGGTAAAATTTGTCCAAAAATATGAATCGCATGAAGTCCTTTAGGATTTTGTGATCCAAACGGATCACCTAATCCAGGCCAGAAAATTAATCTGGTGGGATAAAAAAATTGAAAACCAAAATAACATTTGCTTTCTCCCGCAAAAAAAAAAAAGGAAAAAAAATTGAGAATTTTCCAGTTACCTCCCTTGATTCAGTGGCTCGGTTCTATATTTACAAGGAGCAACATGAAGGAATGAGTTTAAAAATAAAAGATGAGAACAGGGTCATAAAAAAAGGAAAAAACAAAACTGCAGTTGGAGCCCAGTTAGAAATACATTCAGTTTGGGTAACGCAGTTCGCTCAGACGGTCTCCGTTTTGTAAAGTACAGAAGACGTCCGCTGGACATGCTTCTGAGCAATACTGAAAAAAAGCAAATGGCCGCCTCCTTCTCACTTGTATTTATACACTCCAAGGGCAGATAACTCCGTTAACATCTATACACGTTTGAGTTTTTCTCGATGTGATTTCCATCTTTCCCAGTGCTCGGACAAACTACAAGCATTGATCTCGCCAGGCCAAACCTTCACAGATAAGACCCACCATGCTACTTACATAGTAGTAAACCACCCACACCCCCTCCGAATTCCATCGGCGAGAAGTTCCACTCAAATAGATTCACCCAGCGAACCAATACTGTGGAAGAGACTCCTAAGAGTTTTTTTTTCCAGATCGCTAGAATCTTAACTTGTTTAAGACTACAGTTAACTTTTATCTACCCTCCTATCCGTATAAACTGCCCCTTAATGTAACTCTTTACCTCGGATAGACCCCGGACCTTGTCGGGCCTTCTGTAAAAAAAACAAAAAAACAAAAAAAAAAACGAAAAAAAAGGAATTATTAAGATTTGTCTTTACCGGTTATTGTGACGTCGCCCCCCCCCGGTCGCAGCGCCGACTGTGACGTTCTATCCTGATCTACCACAGCACCAGTTGTGACGTCCCCAAACAGCACCAATTGTGACGTCCTCGCCGCGGCGCCAGCTGTTCGCTCCTCGCTGCTCCGTTCGGGTGTCGCTGCTCCAAACGTGACGTCCGCCTGTCGCGTCAGTCGTGCTGTCTCGTCCTGTGACGACCAACTGGCTTGGTATCGGTCGCGGCACCCAAATGTGACGTTCTAACCTTTTGGTGATTCGGGTGGGAATCTGGTTAGATTTGATATCAGCCTCGTCGTTCCCAACTCGCTTCAACGCCTGGTTACCAAGGTAACTGCATTGATCTCCAGTCCGCCTACCCACGTTGTGAATTGATCTTAGGCAGACGAGATCAAACAGTGGTTGGGGCCGTAATGCAAACTGAGTTCAACGGGGGTGATACTACACAAATATGCATAAAAGAAAATAAAATGAAAACTCAAAAAGTTCAAAGTATCAAAGGAAAAGGTATCAAACTTTATGTCTAGTTGTTCGATACATAGGACTGCATCTATCTCCCGACCCGTTCTGTGGATTGTGAAACGTCGTTTCCGCTAGGCAAGTTTTAACGCTTCAAGTTGTTTGCTCTCTAAGAAATTGGTGTTTCGGTGTGTCTTTGGACGAAAGTCTAAAAACTTATTTCGGTGGTCTGGTTCTAAGTCGCTCTTCAAAATAATTGTTTTTTGGTTTGAAGAGGAGTCCTAAATTTGCGTGAATCTTGGTCAGCTATCTCGAGGCGGCTTCAACTCTGGAAACTCAACTCTCCGCTGGAGCCCGAACTGATTTCTGCCTGTTGGGGCCTCGCTTTTATTGATGCCGACCAAAACCGGGCTGGGTCTTTTGGCGTCTGGGGGTTCGTCGATAATTCTAAATACATATCCACCTCTTTTATTTCTGGTTAGGGATTTTCCACTCTTTTCCATTTTGGGGAACCTTTCCTCACTCCCAATTTCTCACCATACCTCTGAGGGGCGTGAACTGCCCTCCCCACTTCTTTGTAGCAGCTTCTCATACTTATACTCTGAATGGGGCGTCGACAGCCTTCTTCGTGCGTCACGTGATCACCACTCGGCCAATGAGGTCTTGGTCGGGTATCTTTCCTCCTCCTTCGTGCGTCACATGACCACTACTTGACCAATGATGTCTTAGTCGGGCGTGAACAATCCGTGGCTTTGTTTCGGGAAAAAAAAAAATTTCTTGCTTAACTAAAAAAAAATTATCTCTTCTCTTTCCCTTTTCTTCCGCTTAAATCGCCGTTATCACCCTTCTAGACGCAACGGACAATATGACAACTCTTGTTCTACACGTGGTGTTTGTCAGGTATTTTATCGCTAATTTATCAAGATGGGTGGTCTTCTTAACATGGCTTCAAAAAAGAAATATCCCCAAAGTTTTCAGTCAGTCTGTCGCCTCCAAGGAAGAAACTAAAACACTTCTGGGTCCCCATTTATTTTCCTTCGGTACATATTCCTGATAACATAATTTTATTATCGCAGGCCAAAGTTGTTTCGTCGAAAAAAAAATCGGTCAGCGGCACTGCTTGTGTGGCATTTAATTTTTCATATCTGTCCAAAGTCCTTTTTAGTGGCCTGTTTCTCGTCACTTATCGAAATAGCATTTTCACTTGAATTTTTCCCTGGCCAGTGGTCCAGCCGTTCGTTTACGCACCTAGATAACACAGCCGTTATCAAAACACATCTGATTCCTTCTTTCTTTCCCTTTCTTTTTTTTTTACTCAGAAATTCCCTGTCATTGTAATGACACCCTTTTTCATTTGTTACTTATCAATATTTTCATTGTCTCTTAGCCGTGTGCGTGATTGCTTATCACCTACGATTCGTCACGCCTTTCTCTCTGCCTTCTTTTCTTTCTCTTCCTTTCTCTGCCTCGTAAATGGTGCCACATATTAATTATATTAGATTGAACGTTTCGTTGGTAATACTGTATTTTGAAGATTTGTATAGAAGGGAGTGATTTACCCGCATAGCTTTCATTTCGACATTATCAATCTTCTGCCATTTCTTTCTTTTTATTAGTCGGTGTTGATTGAGATAAATAACTCTATGACAGTTCATTCTCATTATTTAGAGTACCAGTGCCGGGGGCATATTCCCCAACCCTTTACTGATTTTGACCTACAGATTTGCAAACATCGTAAACCGTACGACAGCAGATTAGAAATGAGGACTTCATTTGTCCCCTTAATAATTGTAATGCATGCATTTTATTCTTTATGACAAGAGGTTTTTCAAAAATGTTATTAAAAATACAATTCATCATACACAGTCGTTAGAAAAAATATAAGGCCAGCTGTAACAAGATTATTTTCTTTTCGTATTACCCTGTATCATAAGCAATTGTATGATCTAATAATTTTTGTCATAGCATCAACCCTTATTTACAAATGATTTATGGCAAAAATGTTTTGTCATTGCCAAATTAGCAGCTATTGTGATAGTATTTGTCGTGAATTAAGCTTAGAATATGAGAAAGAAATCCCCACTTTTACCTCCATAAAGTGTTTGAATTGTTCTACGCATGGAAGTCGATTCTGAATGGGATTTTACTGTAGGTGTCGGTTGTAGCCAAACAACTATGGCGACTTTCAAAAACTCAGGAATATTTAGCGACTAGGCGAAACGTGAACGCAACTTTATCAGGACAGAATAAAACCTTTGGATTTTTCAGAGATTCTTTAAAAACTTCCATTTCTCTTTGAATTCCAAGTCATAATTTTCTCATTTCTTTTGGGACTATCATCTCAAATAAGATTTCATTACAATTTCGAACATTAAATTGATCAAAGTTTGTATATCTTGTGAAAAGTCCTGAATCATTTTCCTTTCAAATTCCCTTCCATTTTTTTCGGCAGCTGATTAGCAATCTTTACGCTCTTTATTTCATATTTCGTATTTCGCCCCCACATTGGTCTA